ATGAGAACGAGTAGGGCTGAGGGCTGGCCTCATCTCAGTGGGGCAACCCTGGGCTGTACCTGCTGCTTTTTGCTTTTTCTTTAACCTACACTGATGCTTTTGGAAGCAATCCCGTGTGTTGTGTTGGATCAGCTCTTTGGTGTCTGGCTGTTGGTTGTCTGTCACACAAGTGGCTCTTGTAAGAGAGGATTTGAGCTATGCTTTATTTGGATGAAATAAGTAAATAAAAATATATAACATGTTAATTAAGATGTTATAAATGTGTGTGTAGAGACAGCTCAGTGCTCCTAATCGCGTGCACGGGCTGTTTTGGGATGAGTTCTGTGTTCCTTACTTTCTTTCTTCAGAAACATTCTTCCCTTGTGCCATATCTATGAGCTCTCCCAGTCCAAGCCAGAAGAGCAGGAAAGGGAGAGTGAAGGGGCATGGAAAGGAGTTTGAAGTGCTGGGGATGGCCCTGTTGCTGTTCTTATGAGGTCTGAAGAGCTGCAGAGGTAATAGGGCTGCGAGGTGGTCCCACAAGGGGGGCTGCGAGGTGTTCCCACAAGGGGGGTTGCTTGGTTGCTCTGTCCTGAAGCCCACCATGAGTTGCTCCTAATCGTGTCTGTGCTGCTCTGGGGTGGCACAGACCGTGTGTGGCTGTGTGACTTCTATGTGCAGCTCTGCCCTGAGGTTCAGCAGGGACAGGTCCTTGCCCAGAGGAGGGGGCTCCAGGGCTGGGCTTGTGATGGGGACTTGCTGGAGACAGCTTAATTCAGGAGACCTCAGTTAAAGAGGTTTATGTTTAAGAGCTGTTGAGCTGCAAAGCTCCGAGTTAAGGAAATATTAAGTTTTGAAGCTTAACAGCTAGTGATTTTTTTTTTTTTAAAGGAAAAATGAAACCATGGAGGAATATAAATCCAAGGAGCCAAGCCCTAGGATTTAGCGCAGTGCGAAGGCTGGGATTTCCCATGGTGTGTGTGGGGATGTCTGCAGAGGTCTGTCCATTCTTGCCCCCCAGAAGCACTCCAGCAGCTGCCATGTGCTCTCCTGAGGAGCTGCAGTGCTCATGGGTGGTGGGAGCATGGAGAGCCCATGGGAGCACGGTGCTGCTGTTCTGTCTGTGCACCAGGAGCCCCGGCAGCTCTCAGTGTAGTGCTGCTGGGCGAAAGGATCTCCTGTTGTGGGCTGTGCTGTAGTCTAAAATGGAAAGCTGAGGGATGTGCTAAAAAAACAAGAAAAAACCTTCCACAAAGTTCTGGCGCCTGCGTAAACAGCATTCCATCTGAAATCAAAGCAACATTGTGAGGAGAGGCAGTGATGGTCCTGAAGGCGAGTGCTGAGTGCCACACGTGCGCCCCAGGGTGAGTATCCTTGGTGGGGTCTGGTGGCAAGTACTGCTCCCATGCAGCTGCCTGCAGGATTCTGTCCTCATGGATGCATTCACTTAGGAAGGACAGTGCGGCCTATAAATCTGTATCCATGTGCAGTGCTCCTGTGTGGCCGTGTGCTTTGGGCCCCTGGGCTTCAGCTCCCAGCTGAAGCTGTGTCCTGCCTTCCTCCTGCAGGGCTGTGACTGAGCATCACAGTGCTGGGCTCAGTTCCTGTCCTCCCAGGGAAACACTGGGGTTTTTCTGAGCTCTTCTGACAGTGCTCGCATTGTGTACCCCCCCATTGCCTGGCTCATCTGCCTGGGAGAAGTTTCTAAGTCCCCTATGGCCTCTATAAGGTTGATGTATGTGGGCTGGGTATGAACAGAATATGTGTCCCTATATGCATTGTGTCCCTTCTTAATGTTGTCTTGCCTTTTACAGATGGATTAAATTGTGGAAATCCCCCACAAGAGAAACTTCAGTGAGAATCACTCATGGACGTGGACCCAAGGGAAGAGATTGAGAATCAGATGGAGCGAAAGCAGCATGGGTTCACCGTGGGGCTGAGCTGTGCAGCCCAGCTGCTCTCTGCAGCATGACCCTGTGCTTTCCTCTTCCCTGCAGGAGGAAGAGGCCCCTGGTTGCAGGACATACCAGGTCATGGAAGGGAACCTCAGTAGCCCTGTGAGTTGGATGGGGCTGCTCAGTGGGGCTGCTGGGAGGCAGCAACGGATTCAATAGGCCCCAAGGCCCCGCAGGATGTTCTCTTAATTAGGGATTTGCATATGAGGCTGAAAGGCAGCAGCCCTGGGGACTGATGGGAAGCACGCTGCTGGGCACACATCTACCTACCCAATATGCTGCTTCATGGAAAAGTGATGAGAGAGCTGCTGGGTGCGCCCAAATCTGCACCTTGGTTCAGCTGCATGGAACCAGCAGAGTGAGCTGTGGTGCTCATGGGATCAAGGAGAGGCCTTCAGCAGGGGAAGCAGGTAGGGGACAGGCTGCTGCCCTTTATGTCTGTGTATATGCATGCACTACGATTCATGCATTCCTTGCACTGTACAGCCAAGTGGTGTTCTGGTTTTTCCACCTTTTCTGTTCTCTGTGCTCAGCTGTGCTCCGCAGGGCAGCTTGCCAGGGATGCTCTGCGTTACTCTCCAGGTAACTACTGGGATCGTAAGACTGAAGGAGGGCTTGTCACGCTTCTGAGGCATAAAACGTGGATCTTGAAGTAAACATCCCGTTTCTGATTTCAATAGGATATCTTCAGCATTAAAACCCAAATCCTGCTGCGCGCTCCCTGCCACCACCACCAGCCCTGTGCTCCTGGCAGCTCTCAGTCTGTGGGGTGGGGGTCACTTCTCTCTGTGCCCCCCTGGCACTTTGTCTTTGGGACCCAGAGATGTAAGGCTCCAGCATCACCACTTTGCCCACCCGGTGACAAGTCCCAGGGGTTGTGAAGCTCTGCAGGGAGCTGCTGGCAGCAAAGGTAGGGCCCCACTCTGCATCCCCTCCCACTGGGTCATGAGCTGCGCTAAATCCCCTCTGCCCATGTGTGGCTGCTCGCCCTCAGAGAGGCAGGGCAGGGAGGGGAGCTGCGTTGTGCCACACATGAACGATTTGGGGTTTTTGTGGTCCAGGAGGAAGGAGCAAATTTCACTTTTGCAAGCATTCAGCTCAGCGACAGCCCCGCGGTGCTGTGGGGCGGTGCAGGCAGAGCTCGGTGCTTTTGGAGCTCACACATGGGGGGCTGAGCCTCTGCTGCAGAGCCCAGCTGTGCTGTGTTGCCCAACCCATGGGGCTCAGGGCCTCCCCAGCAGCTCCAGGGCTGCACCCCATGAGGTGTTCCCTGTACTGGGCTCTGCATTTCCCATGGAGTTTACAGGGCCTTCAGTGGAGTCAGAGTGGGGAAGAAATACTGGAGGGGGGAGGGGGGTGCAAAGCAGTGCGTTGGGGCCCAGCTGCTGTTAAAAAGCAAACAGGGAATATGTGGAATATTTTCCTGGCTAACCTGGGAGGATGCTGAAGAAGCTCTGTCACTGCTTTTAAACTTGTTGGGGTTTTCTGTGAGCTACAGGTGGGACAGCACCGTGTGGTGCGGCCTGCAGGTGATGTGATCTGAAGGGAGGGGGGAAGATGCTGCAGGCTGCGGGCTGTCCCCATGGGTGTGTGCTCTGACGTGCACCGTTACTCGAGTATTTGGAAAGCTGGCGGTTATGAGCTATGGTTATGTTCTCACTTAATAAGGTGTTAACTGACATTAGGCTCTCTTCTGAGAGTTGGAATATGCTGGAGGTTTGCAGTTCCCGGCGCTTCGTCTGCTCGGAACGAGCTCTCGGAGACGGGCAGGCACTCACCGCGCGCTCCCAACGTGTGATTTTTTTTCATTTATTCCGGAAAAAAAGCAACCCAAACCATATTTCTATATAGAATAAGAGCGCAGAAAGGCGAAGAGGGCCGCGGTGCCGGCTGCGGTGCGGCGGAACGGCCGCTGGAGGGCAGGCGAGCCGTGCGGAGCAGAGCGGGAGGCAGCGCGGCCGCAGGGCGAGCGCTGCGCGGGGCGAAGCCGACGACAGGACCCGGCCGGGAGCGGGGGCGATGCGAACGCGGCGGGGGCGGGGGCCGCAGCCCGAGCCTGGGGGGGGCCGCGCCGAGAGCCGCGGGGGCGACGCTGCCGCCCGCCCGCCCGGGGCTCTCCGGGACGCGCCGCGCTCCGCCCGCCCGAGGTAAGAGGCGCCGGGATCCGCCGTCCCCCCCCCTCGAGCTGTCCGCACCACCGGGCGGGGGGCGCGGCCCCGCTGGCCCCCGGGCCGTTGTCGTGGTTATCGGCGTTTCTTTCTTTCTCTCTCTCTCTCTCTCTCTCTTTTTTTTTTTTTTTTTTTTTTTTCTTTTTTTCATTTCTCGCGCTCTGCCCCCTCCTGCTGCGCGGCCGCGGAGCGCAGTGCCGGGCGCGGGGCCGGCCGGGGGGGCGGCGGGGGGGCACGGGCTGATGATCGGAAGTTACTGACAATAAGCACCTTCATCCCCCCCAAAGGCGGAGAGAGAGAGGGAGAGGAGGAGGAGGAGGAGAGACAGGGGGAGAGGAGAGCTGATGCCTAAGCGAGTCACTCGGCGCAGGCACGGCGGGCGGGACCACAACTTCCCGGGGCGCGGAGCGGCGCGGAGCGGCGCGGAACGGAGCGCGGCGGTCGGAGCGCGCCCATGTCAGCGCGGCGCCGGGGGACTGCACGGCGCTACGGGCAGCACTGAGCAACCCTCCTCGCCCAGCGATGTATTCACTGCTCTCCGCCTGCACTTGCCTGTAAGGATTATGGCATATATGTATTTTTTTTCCTTCTGTTTTTTCTTTTTTTTCCCTTCTTTTTAATTATTATTTTTATTATTGTTTTTATTGAGTCTATTCGGAAAACTTTCATCTTGGAGGCTCCGGTTGCGTTTTTGCCTGCAGCCAGGTGGGAGCGGGGAGCGGAGTCCCTTCGTGTGCGCAGCGCCGATCTGCGCCGCTTAAATAATCGCAAAGAAAAACAAAGCGAAAAAAAATAGTGAAAAAAAAAACAAAAAACCAAAAACGCGACCGTAACCATTGCACCGCATCATCTGATCTTTTGTTGCCTTTTTTTTTTTTTTTTTCTCCAGATGTTTACATTTCCTGCTGCTGTGCTTTCAGGTACAGGTACGTTGTCCTTTTCTGTCCTCTTTTGCTTTTGGTTGTTTAAAAAAAAAAAAAAAAAAAAAAGAGAAAAAGTAACAAAGGCGGCGCTGACCCCGGCGCGCCCCGCACCTCCGCGCTGCGCTTCGCCCTCCGGTTGCGCGGATCCCGGTGCGGGTGCTCCGCCCGCAGCGCAGCGCGGTGCCCGCGGAGTCCGGGAGGCAGCGCTGTGCTGGGCGCGGAGGGATGCACTTGCCTTGGAGCGGCAGACGCTCTCCTGCTCCTGTTTTTTTTTTTTTTTTTCCCTTATTTCGTAGGGGACTTAACTCCCAAAAAAACGATACTTTGCAAAACACGGCGTGCCCAAGCCAGGAGGAGGCTGCGCGCTCCCTCCCCTTTATTCTGGAGGAAGGCGTCCAAGCCTGCTGCTGCCTTTGATCCTGCCTGGGCAGAAGGCAGCCGCTGGTGGGGCACCACGGGTCGGGGCTTCCAGTGCCACCTCCGTGGGACCCCCGGTGTCATGTCCGGGGGATCCCTGCTGCCGTGTCTGTGGGACCCCGGTGACGTGTCTGTGGTACCCCAATGCAGATGGGCACAGCAGGTGCCACAGCCTTGCTGCCTGCTCAGTGCCACCTGGTCCTGTGTTGGCCCTGCTGCACCTGCCGGTGCTCTGCAGCCAGAGGTGGTGCTGGCAGTGCCTCAGGAGGGGCTGCGTCCCTGCGGTCAGGCCCAACCCAACAGCCCCGTCCTCTGCTCCCCTCCTCTGAATGCATCCACTTATTTTTCCCCTCATCCCTCTGAAAATCACGACTCCCCCGGTGAACCACCAGCACAGCCCCTGCATCGCACAGACCGCAGCTGTAAATCACAGCCGCCGCTCTCCGGTGCGTTTTGTTGTTGTTGTTTTAATCCCAGACCCGAGGAATCCCGGCTGCGATGGCACCCGCTGCAGCGGGAGACATTTTTCTGTGATTGTGTGGTAACTGAAGTTAATCAGCCCCGGCCCCCTCCCTCTCCCCCTCCCTTCGGTGCTTTTAGTGAATCAGAAAAAGTTTGGCCTGCTGCCTGGAAAGCACTTGCTAAAATCTGATCTCTTACTTCAGCAGCCTTAAAACTTGGGAAGTTATTGGCATTTATACAGTTGGAGCTCGCGGGCTTCCAAAGCAATAAAATAATATAAAAAAAAAAAAAGAAAAGGGAAGGAACAAGTCGGTGCTGTTGTGCTATTAGAAGCACGCTTTCTCAGTCTCGGTTGCGGGATGCGCCGTGCGTGGGGCTCAGCCGTCCAGCAGGGCCACACGGGGCTTTGCAGTGTTAATGGCAGATGAAAAGATGTGAGCACCGTAAGTTTTTATTGCCCATTCTGTTACACTTTCTTTCTGGATTTATTCACGGGATTACATGTTTTGAGCCTGAATGGGAGCGAGGGATTATAGGATTTCTTTCATAATGATCAGTTTGGGTAGGAGTTAGCCTTTGGTGAACCGGAGTAAATTAATGCATCGCTCCGGTTTAATATTTATTTAGGCTAAAAGAAGTTGTTTGGTTTTGCTTAAAGGGCTCTGCGCAGCGCTGGGGAGGTTTAGGGACGGATTATATTCTCAGGATGGATGGATTATATCCTAAGGCTGATTTTCACCTCCTGCCGCTGTCGCCGTCCCGCGGCTGCGTTGGGAGCGCTCCCGCCCTGCACGGGGCCATAGGGCTCTGCGTGTGAAGGTGATGCACCTGCAGTGTGCTCTGGGGTCCTGTGGTTGTGCTTCTGCTGCAGGAGGAGTGGTACGGGGCGGCTGCTCCTCCACGGTGCAGCATCCCCTGGTGCAGGGTTTGGCAGAGGGTTTGGGCTCGCGGAGGAGCCGGGCTCCTGCAAGGTGCCACTGTTGGGTGACACGTCCCACGAGGGATGCGTGGTGCAGAGCCAAGCTCCTGGCTCAGTTGTGAGCATCCCTTTGTGGCTCCTGCTCCATCCCTGTGGCCATGTTCCCACCTTGTCTGCTTCCAGCAGCTCCTTTGCTGCCTGGGGTTGCTGTGCCCTGAAAACAGTCCCAGGCAGCAGAGAGGTGAGGTCTCTTTGGGGGCACTGGGGAGGTTAAGCTGTTCATGCACGTTTCACTTTAGGGCTGCTTTGCTGCACTACAGTCTCTCCTGCTATCACTGCCCCTCAGCATTCTTCTCTTTATCTCTCCTGCCCCTCACCGTGCCCTTCACGTCTGCCCGGCTCATGGAGAGGGCCTGGCAGGGCCTAAGTCCCTCGCTCTGATGCTTCTCGTGTATTAGGATCCAGCTTGGGAATCTGATCCAGGAGCAAACGGGAGGTCAGAGCAGCGCACGCTGCGACACCGTGCTATTTTCACATCTGCTGTTGTTGTCTAAGAGGGAGATGGCTGCATCATGCCAATAGTAACTGTTTCTCTAAAGGTCCCGTGCAGCTCCGGGTAGTCACTATTTGGGGCTGTGTAAATTGGGACATAGAGAAATGCTGTTTTCACATACTCGTCGGGCCAGGCCATGTGTCCTGTGATGGGTGGCACAGGCCCAGCCCTGGGGCTGGAAGAGGTGAGGCTTAGGGCAGCCAACTCAGCTGTGCTTGGGACCGGGGCCATCACTGCCATCTGCAGCACCCACTGTCCTGCCACACCGCATTGCCTTTGGAGAGGCAGAGGCCTCTGTCTTACAGATTCCTGTCCAGAGAGGCAAAAAACCAAGCGTGTGAACTTTGGCATACCAGGACTTTTCTGTTGTGCCAATGGGCAGCAAAGCAGAGCTGCTGCTTGGATGCCTTAACCTGCAAGTCCATGTATTGCAACTCATATTGCAGTTTCAGAGCTTAGAGATATGCAGGGTGCTTCAGGGAAGAAGGAAGAGCTTGCTCACGGCAGAGGTGAGCACACAGCAGGGTGTAGTAGGTGTGGGTTCAGAGCTCCCCATTTGAGATAGCTGGACACGCAGTGACGGCTGTATTTAATTTGAGTTTTGCCTTCCATATTGCAACTGGCATGGACAAGGCTGGATGGAGGTGAGGGATGCTGAGATTTGGAGGGATGCCTGCTTTTAAAATCTCCCTGCTATGTCCTCATACAACAGTTTGGTCAGAGAAGAGTGACGGGGCAAAGGGTGGCACTGCCCAGGCCGTCTTGGTTTTGTCAGAGCTGATGTGAGTCCAGCAGCAATGCCTGCACATGAGCAGCATCCGGAATAGTTTATGTTGCCATAAGCCACAGCATCAGTCTGGGCACTGGCAGTTTCTGCAGCTGTGATGTGATCCAGCTGAGCAAGCGAACCTGGAGAGAAAGGCTCCCTTGGGGCTGAAAGTCACTCCTCTGGATCCACAACCCAATTCCTGGATCTTCGGGGCATTTTTTGTGTGTCTCTTCCTTTCCTCAGGAGCTGGGAAAGTCCCTGCTGCCTGCTCTCCCCTCCTCCTGTCAGTGCTATCTGATTTTGCTTTGATTCCTTCCAGATACGGACGCTTTTGATACCAGTTGTGATAAAAGCAGGTGAAAAAGAATTTCAGGAAACTGTGAGATTTTAAAAAGGAATAAAGGAACCTGGGAGGGTAGATACCAGCCTCGAGGACCACCAGGCACGCAGCCTCTGAGGCATCTGTGTGGTTCTGTGCCCACAGGGCCAGGGCAGTGTGGAGCCATCCCTGTGCCCTGCATCTCCCTGTTCTGTTGTGGGAATCACAGGGCTTCAGCCTGGTGCCGTTATCTTTTTTCTTGGCTCTTTTTTGTCCCGTCCCTGGGCTTTTGTGTCTAGGTCCCTGTGGGCCATAGCAGCAGGCACAAGCAGGAATGGTGCAGCCCTGCCTACCTGGCGTGTCTCCTGTTCGCTGGTGTCTGAAATGCCGATGGAGGATTAGCATCCAGCGAAGTAGCTGGAGGGGAAGTGAGAAAAAAACATAGAAAAGACCGTCTGAGTCTGCCAAAGTATTTTCTTATTGGCATTCAGCAGCCTCGCCATAGCATGAAGAGAGAAGAAAGGAGAACAGAGAGAGGAAGGAGGAGGCTTAGCCTGTCATGGTCTGCCTACTTTCTTTTGTGAGAGCTCCTCGCCACGCCGGTGTCTGCGGTGGGTGGGAGCGGACGTGCCGATCCCTGCCGGGGGCTGCCGGGCTGTGCCCCCTCCCCTCGGCCTCCCACAGCACAGGGCCAGCTCGCAGCAGCCGCCCCTGGGCAGATCCCTCCTGTTGTGTTCAACCAGCCGGCGGGTTTCAAGCTCAGGCGCGCAGCAGAAGCGCATCCTCCCCAGGTGCGGCACCGCGCCGTTCTGTGAACGTCAGCAGCTCCCTGCTTTGCAGCACACGGTTGCTTTTCCACGAGGGTACCTGATTCTTTCTGCTGCAGACGCTGGATGAGGGGTCGTGTGGTGACATAAGGAATGCCTTGCTCTGCCTTAATGCCTTGGCCTGTTTCCTTCGGGTGTGATAAAAGCATCCTCTGCGAGTAGCTCTTCTGTGCTTGGTGCTGCCCTAATTTCACTGCTGTTGAGCCCATGGCTGATGGGAGAGTGTTTGTTTTGCCCAAAGATCCCCTGGGGTGCTTGGAAACAGAGGGGCAAACTGCAGCAGGTGAAAGTGCAGCACTTTGTTGGCTTTGGCTGAATGTGTGGTTTGGAGGGGCTTGGTCCAGCAAGCAGCCAGGGATGGCACTGAAGGGGAGCAAAAGGGATGTGATGTGCCTTGTCAGCCTCCTGGTAATGTTTTGTGACACAGCACATTGAGATCGGTGAGCAGTGAATTTGGTGTAGCTCCCAGGGAGCTGCAGGTTGCATCTGCACAAATACCTGAGCTAGTTGATAGCAGCTTGCAGGGTGTTTCCAGCACTGCTTCTTCCCAACTCCTGTTTCTCCTCCTGCACATTCTCAGCCCCCTGTCTTCCCTGCTAAAATGCTGTCTTTGGCACCACTTGCAGGGACAGGTTGTTGAAAAGCTGCTGTATCTTTTCGAATACCCTGAGCCACCCTTCTGCAGCAAAACAGAATTAGCCCCAAGCCTCAGGAGCTCAATGAATACCAAGGTGTGC